CATTAATCTAAATCCCCGGGACAATGTGTTTCTGTGTGATTCTTGGGTATGAAAATCCATTCAGAACAATGTATAAAATGCATGTTTTTTTAAGTATAGCACTCAATAAAATACAAATTCTTGAATGTGAATCAATGAATTTGGTGGAGGAGAGACCGTTTTTTGGAATTCAGGGAAAGCACCAGCAGAAGCTCTTCTTCTTTGATCTACTAACCATCAAATAGAAAGAGCGGAAGACATTATTTACCTCATTCCAGGGCGAGCAGAAAAGCATGGTAGTCAAGATGCTACCTGAATAGGAAAGTGACAGTGAGGAAGGGGGTAGCTTGGGAGGCATGACAAAAAGGATGAAGGGTGGCGAGGTACAGTATTTTATTGCTGTATTTTCATAACATAGCTAGGCTGGAATGTGGGTTAGTTTGTAGGACAGTATTTTCCCAACCCACCTATTTATATCCACATTTTTAATTCAGGAGAAGATTGAAACCCGTTTTATTTTTAACACACCCTGACATTGCGGTAAAGGCTTCTTCTACTGTAGAAAGAAATTGCTCATTCTGCCACTCAAGAATCCTTCCAGCCAACCAGAAAGCCACCAAAATACAGAATCATAAGGGCAGAGTTTTCCCTCTGACACTCCATTACCTGATTAAAAGCACTTCAGAGTATACTTTGATCAAAAGCTCCACCTGATGGCAGCAATGAAATACCAAAAAGTAAATCAGGATCATAGCAAATGATTGAGCTGACCCAGTAAACATGGTGGAAACACTTTCAACTGAGTCTTGTCAAACAGAAACATGTTGTTTTTGTTTTTTATGAATAATACCATTCTGGTCCAATGTTGCAACTCATTTGAACGGCACATTCAGGACTAGAAGTAAAGAGAACTCGAAAATGTATTTTGTGCAGTTGAACTTCTTTGATGATTTATTTAGCTAAAATTGGAAAATGCAAAAGTATTGCCAATATTGGGGAAAAAGGAGGGCTTCACATGCTTGGCTTGTCCTCTCTGCTCACTCTGACTAAACAGCCTGCAGTTCAGCTGAAGTTTCACTAAGTTAATTGCACTAGACTGTGGGTCTCAGCGGAGTTACTCATGGCTTCCCACTTGCTCTGAGGAGCACACAAGGAAATATTTGGAATACAACTGTTTTGAAGAAATATCAAAAAGATTTAGCCTAGATTTGGTAATAATTCTTGAAAAAAGAGTGTCAAGTGCCATTTGAAATAAAAAATCCTGGCCATCAATTCTGTTTTTAGAATGTCTGGTTATAATTAAATGGTGTGATTCTGTACTTGTAATGTGGTCTTTCTACTGGTAAAATATCCAACGTGTGCCGAAATTCAATAAGCCTAGCATTTCAAAGGACATTTTGTGAAAGCGGAGCTTTGCCGAGAAGACAGAAGAGATTCTGTCAGCTGTCATAGTGATGAGAGAAATCTGAATCCAATCAATACTCTGACATACAAGGAGTTGTAGTGACAGGACCACAGAGTAAGTGGATGGAATACAAAACAAAAAGTCAAATGCACAGTGCAGTGATTTAACAGATCAAGAGGCCTACTTCAACTTCTCCGCTGTAAAAGGAGGGGTGGACAGAGTGAGCGTGTAAAATACATGTTTAGGGTCAAGAGTTAAAGGTCCCATGTCATGGCCATTTCTACTGATCATAATTCCATTGTTGAGGTACACTAGAATATATTTATATTGTGCAATTTTCCAAACTCACATTGGTTTCTCATACAGCATCTCTGTAAAGTATGTGTATTCACTCTCTGTCCTAAACGGCTTGTTGGAGCTGCTGCCCCCCCCTCTCTGTGAGCCCAGTGTGCTCTGATTGGTCGGGACGTTGCGAGGCTCGCTGCTCACTGAGCTGGCTTACTGGTGTGGTTTCCGGGTCGGCAATACAGCGAGACAGCGCGAAACTCATCCTGAGCACACACAAACACTCACAGCCGATGTAAAAACAATAAGTGTGGCTTGATATTGAGTAAGAAAAAGGTTTATAAACGCTGTGAGTATGGGTCTGCGGAGAGCATTTCTCCGCGATCCCAACTCGTCTATTACCAACCAGGGAGTTCTATGCAAGTCAATGGGACTCCCTGTTAGTTGAACATTTACACTAAAGGTCCCCCCACTGCGTTTGATAGTGACGCCAAGGGATCCTGGTGTGAGGAGCTCCGCGGATTGGTCCATTTTGGTTCCGGGAACTGCATGACGTCATGCGTTTCCCGGAAGGAACAAATGGAAAAAGAGAAATCTCCAACGAGGCGTTCTGGGGCAGCATAGACAGGTCTTTTCTGTGTTCGAGTTGTACTCGCTACAGGGTGTACTTTGAGGGTTTTTGACTCTGCAGACCGTTTACATGCATAAAAACCTTCATAACACACAAGGGGACGGGTAATAACCAGAAAAGCATGACATGGGACCTTTAAGGATTTTCTGACATGTCTTCTTTTGCCATTGTCTTTTTTGTGTTGACCTGCCACCATGCTGTCATAGTGCTGTAAACTTGTAGAATTAGTGCAGTAAGCTGACATAATATTGTTGTACGACCACACGGCCTTGTCATGGTATTTTTGTCATTCAAGATGCCTTTTACTGCTGATTCAATATTTTTCTATAATTTCGTTCAACTTTTCTTCGAGTATCTCTCCCTCTCTTTCCTCATTTATTTCCTCTTGACCGATTTCCTCCTCCGTCCTCTCCTCATGGCCATGCTACACTGCTCAGTGTATTAATTGTGGTTTGAAGGATCCCCGGCTGAGGCTTGGTGGGATTGTCCAAGCCAATGGCTCAGAACTGCAGGGCAAGGCAGTGAAAGCTTGGACTCCTTACAGAATTTGTTCCACACCGCTGATACGGCGCCTTGGCATCCACCGCCCAGAACTGGCAGTTTGTTCGCTGTCACCGACCACCAGCTCCTTTTATTCGAGTCATCCACCTGCCCACATTAATACACTTCTTGTTAAAAGCTGTTGGGGGATAAGGTCTAAGGTAATCTACAGGAAAACCTTTTTTATTGAATAAAACATTAATGACCAATTCTAACTGACAGGTTTCATTCATTCAGATTTTCTGTTTTGGTGTCCTGGAGGCCCTTTTTAAAACATTTAAAAAAGTAGATTTCTAAACTGGTGACACGTTTCAAAAGTCAGCTACAAATGATACATATTCCAGCTAAAAGTTGAAAAGTTCAACATTTTGGTGTACACCCTTAGTTGCCTTCTTGCCAAATATAAGATGAAGAAGATTGATTCTGCTCAAACGTCTCTACAGAAAGTATGCCATGATACATTGCTAATCAAATGTGCTGTTTGAACCCTTTGAGAGCTGTGTTGTATCTCCTAAACTCCCGTTATTTAAGATAGACATTACTGAAGCAGAGCAAAAGTGAAACTCTGTTGCCATGCCGATCTATCTTCGGTTACAGAATGAGGTGCCAAGTGATGGTTGGTCAATATTTATAGACTCATAACAGCATGTATACCACGGTATTCTTCAGTCAATTTGTACGTCTTCCTTTTCCCCCCAACTTTTCCGCCCTCCGCCCCACATTCGATTCATCAGTCCTCTATTTCTCTCCAACTCACTAATCTCATTCTTTCTTTCTTGCCATTTAAACATGGTCTTTTCTCTACTAAGCTTTTATGACTCTACTTTGCTCCCCAGTTTGAATGTAATGGGTACATCGAGAGGCATTTTGCGTTGAAGCATCTCAACTATACTTCACATTTTAGCATCCATTACACCGTACACCTAACAAGGAGTTGCTTTTGTTAAGTCGGGAAAATTGGACCAACACAGGCAAGATTATACCACCAACACTCAAAGGAACTTAGCTATCCAAACTGCTCCCTTTTGTGCTATGATAGCAACATGGTAGTGTGTGGCTCTGCGTGACCAAACGATAGACAATAGATTGTCCAATCAAGTCAAGAGTTGTGCATTTATTAAGTTTGCCTTTCTCTGAGTTGTTGTTTTTAGAAAGGAACACAAACAAAAGTGTACCAATTTAAAAACTGTATATATTTTGTTACGTTTCATTCTGTGGCCATGAAAGAGAGAAAACAAAAAAACAAGAGAGACAATGTTAGAGAACACTGTGATAGAATAGAATATATCTTTATTGTCATCATACAGAGTACAACGACATTTCTTTGGCAACTCTCACTGCAGTAAAAAATAGACACAATAAATAAGTGGTAAAAGCAGAGGTAGTAGCGATAGTGCAACGAGATAAAATTCAATGTCAATGTGCATGTTTACACTTACAGTCTAAATACATATTAGTAAAATAGCCATAAGTATGTCTAAATAGTAGTGCTTGCTGACTCAACGAGCCAATCAGGACGGATCCTTCCCCTTGGCTTGAAACCAATCAGAGCCAGTTTCTTGCCGAGGGTGTCATCAGGACAAAAGAGTAAAGGGAGCTCCCGGAGTCCAACCTAACGCCTAGTAATTAGCCTGAATATCTTCCTATCTGCTTACCATCCCACATGCTACAAAGCCACTCGTAACGAGCGTTAATAATTACGCAATACTCGACCAAAATCCCCCTCATCGACACTGATTGGATGATTAAATTATGGATTTTATACAAGGCTTTGCAATTAAGGAAGGAGCTGGAAGGGATTATTGCTCAAGGGACATACATTACAGATATTTATGGAAACCCGTGTTGCGGTTCGGGAGACTGTCCTTCACATTGAGTTATGCTGTGTGTAACACTAATTGACATACACATAATGGGCAAAGGTTTTTTATAAACACTTAGCTTTTATGTCAAAAACATGTTGCAGCCTTGAAAAGCTAAGCTATCAACTTACACTGCAAAGTTAGTGCTGCTGTAATTTCTCGAGTTTGTTTGTGTGCTCTCTGTTCCTACTCTGCTATAAATGCTTTATCCTTACCCTTTTAGAGTGTCTCTAGCTGTGCATATTTAATCCCACTCCTTCTGTCTCTTAACCTTCAGACGTGTTTTCTTCCTGCTCAGGGCGAGCTCTGATGAGATTGACAGACAGAAAGCTGGAAAGAATGGGCATCATGCAGGAAGCCCAGAGGCAGCACATCCTGCAGCAGGTCCTGCAGCTCCGCGTCCGCGAGGAAGTCCGGACCCTTCAACTCCTCACACAAGGTACAGCACCCGTTCTCCCCCTGTGAATCTCAGTCCATCCTTAAATACATAAAAAACTATGTATGATTTTCACCATCATAATATTTGTCTAATTTTGCATGATTATTTGATTACACCAGCTTCAAAACAACACAGGGTTTTAAGAGCACGTACTGTAGCTGGTTCTCTCGCGGGTAAATGTTATTCACAAGGACACAGACATCTCACATTCTGATAAATATTCAAACCATTTACTGTGAAGCATTTATGTGCATGCCATCTGTAGTCATGGCAATCACTGCATGTTTTAAAGCTCACAGGAAGTGGTGAATCAGAAATGATTATGCAACTCCAAGAGTCATGGACAGATTTGTCTTCTTTGGTCATCTTTTGATGTAAAGTGATCACAGAACGGTCATTATGCAAACGTCTCAATGGTATTTGATATACCATTGAGACGTTTGCATATATAATGACCGTTCTGTGATCACTTTACATCAAAAGATAACCAAAGAAGACAAATCTGTCCATGACTCTTGGAGTTGCATAAGCTATCCTGCTAGTTTGCTGCGATTTAAAACGCTGAAATCTTGCAGTGAAATCAATTCATTTCAATGGAATCTCAAAACATTTGTCTGCACGAATGGTTTCTGTAGAGTTCAACTTTGATGAACACTTACATGTTGGTCTCTGATTGCCAAAGGGGAACAAACAAAAAGCTATTTTGGCTTATTATTTAATTCTGGATAAAAAACGTTTCCACAAAAGAACAGTGGTTTACAGATGGCTATGAGAGAGGAGTCCCGTTAGCAAAGGAGCTAATCTTACTGTTAGCAAGCTTGTTAGCTCAGACGGCTTTATTTTACGGCTGTTTTATTCAATTAAATGTTTTACAATTGTAAACATTACCAGGGGAAATCAAACCGAACAGTTCAAATAAGCTACAGGAGCTTTTGGGCTGCGAGGCAAGTCAACCCACTTAGCTTGCCGGCTACAGGAGTTCATCAACTATCCTTTTGTGTAGTCAAATGTGACTGCTGCTTTAAAAGTAGACTGTGGAGGGTTTTTTAATTCTTTTAAACCCAAAAAATGTGTGATTACATTTGCCTATCACCTACAGTAGCTGTTGTTCAGAAGAGAATGCTGTTGTGTGAAGCTTTAGCGCTGCAGTACTTGAATAAAGATAATAACTTTCCAACAAACCCTTATAATCAAAATTTGAACATGTTGTCTATTCACACAAGATACAAATATACTCATCAAACTGATTTAAATGTAGCGTGTATTGAATTTGACCTTTAAACAAAGACACACCATCCCTGTTACACAAGGGACCACCATCATATGTTCCTATATATGGCACATCTGCGGTTTCTCCCTTTGGCCTTATATCTTTACTGTCAACACTTCTCACTTTGCTCAATGCATCCTCTGTAGCTTGTTTCCTAACAACAGCGCCCGCATCCTCTCCTCGCTCTCTCCGTCTCACCCCGTGATTCTCAGCTCTCGTATTCTCTTCCTCAGCACTTCCAGCAGCCGCCCTCCTCCATCACCTCTTCCAGCAGCAGCCCGTCTGCCCACAGACTCTCAAGCAGGGCTCTGCCGCAGGGGCTGAGAAACAAATTGTAGGGATCTTTGTCACTCTGCGAGATTCTTGGAAAACATTTGGAGTGTAATAAAGCAGCTCCTATCCCCCGCTGCTGTTTTGGTCCCCTATAGCAAGTGGAAAATAGAAAGAGAAAGAGAGTGCAATTGAGAGTTTAGCTGAGTGATGACACTTTGCTGAGGGCTACTCTCAGCCTTCTCGTGTTTTCTTTGCCGCTCTTTTTCTCCTCTCCTCACCTCTGTATTGATGATATGGGAAGCGACGGCTCACCTTGCCTCAGCAGCTTTAGGCGGCTGGCCTCAGAAGGAAGCAGCCTGTTAGTGGAGGCTACTTGTGCCTCGGGAAAGAAAAGTGGTTGATGAAGGGAATATGGAAATGTAAACAAAAGGATGTGGAGGAAGAGGGATGTGTTTTGAGTTCAGCCAATTGGATGTACAATTGAACGCCTAAGAATCCTCACAGGAAGTAATCATTCATTATAAAGGAGTAACTGGTCTTGGAATTGAACACATTCACTCAGATATAAACAACTTTTATTTGATATTGGGTTGTTTTTTTAGTTGTTTTTTTATCATCACCATTGTTTAACTGAACGTTACACATGTGGAGCAGTGAGAAAAGGAAGAGCAATCAAACCAGAGGTATTTAAAGTATCCTGAGCTGTTGCTTTTGGCAGGTAGCGAGAAATTGGAAGGAGAAGAAATGGTGGAGTATTTCCAGGCCCAAGGCGCACTTTCTCAACTCTTCCTAGAGGGAAATACAGCTATAACCAGCACGAAGCCGAGCCAGAAAGAGAAAGAAGTGAAGTGGAAGGTAGGAGGAGCGACGATGAGATGATGAAGAGAAAGAAAGGAAGAGGAGGTAAAGTGAGAAGAGTTGGGGAAGAGAGAGACAGTAAGTGACAAAAAGGTATGATGAGGAAGTAAAGGAGATAGAGGCGGTGAGAAGATGGAGAGAATGGAAAGTGAGAAAGAGACGAGGCGAGAAAAGGAAACCCTCATATTACTCTACCCTCCATCTGAGGCCTGATGGAACGCAAATGCATTTCTATATTTACGAAATATATCTGTATTAAATAGTCTATAAATATACTGCAAGCACTCATATAAAAGCCAGAATTCAATAACGGTTTTCATTGATTATTCCACCTTGAGTTACCTTTGTTCACTTGCCACAGTCTAACACTTCCTGTAGATGTTTCACATTAAAAGGCTCCCATGCCTTTTTGCCATATGAGCCCCCAGGCTTGAATGTGAAACATGTCGTCAGGAAATCTTTTTTTCTTGGCAGGAAGTGTTCCGTTAAGTATCTAAATAAGGACAAAAAGTTTTTAGAGAATTAAAGAAGCATTTCTCCTAAAACAAATGCAAGTGGTGATGGTATAGGGAGTGTTGATGGAAGTAGTGGAATTATACTAAGTTTATCAAGAGAGCAGGTACACATTATCTGGCAAATTAAAGTCCCCAGGCATTGACAGGAAATATGTCTATATGAGAGCGATCAGAGGGGCACCATCTATATAGGAAGACAAACATGATGGAGCATGAGACAGAAAGAGCGAGGGAAGCATCTACTAGATATATAAAGAGAGAGAGGTGCAGAACAGAGCGCTGGAGCGAGAAAGGTGCACAATGGAGAGAAATGTGAGAGCAGGAGAGGAAGCGAGGTGTTGTAATTACTGCAGTGTACCCAGACAGAATTAGCTAGACGGACAGTGATTAACCTTTAAGGCTTGCTGGGCCATGGGAGGGAAATAATTAGATTTCCCCTGTCTCTTTCTCTCTCTCTGTCTCCCTGTGCCACGGGGACAGCTGAGAGTGGATGCTCATCGCTTATTGCTTACAGTCAACAGAGGTGGACAGAGGGGCTCCAAATAGAAAGTGATACCCAAACAACAACGGCCTCTGTGTGTCCACCTGATAGGGGCCCTTTGGAGCCAGGGTGCTTAGATCCACCGTTCCCTTAAACCTCTTCTTAATGATGACATGAGTACTCTAGCTGTAGGGAGAGTGACAACAAAAGAGCGTGATAAAGAAGTTGAGATATTGCTTACCTTCTCATCTTTGCCCAATCACTGCAAACATGCTCGCCAGTTTCAAAAAGGCTGGGTGGAGATGGTTTCAGACGTCGTTCGACAATCTAAAAAGCAATCTGAAGCACGCTGACCCACTTAGTTCGACAATATACGTGATTATATAAATCCAATACAGCTTTGGACACTAATTGCACTTGACATCAGTAGTGCTGTTAACATTGTTTGCGTCTATATCTTGACATAATAATGGCAAATAGGGAACAAGCTTCATAAATGAACAAAGCAGACACATCGGAAAAACTTTGCTCGTTTTTTCTCATTAGCATAACAACTTGTATACTTTTGAAAGGAAAAATGCTCCACATATTCTTAATAATTTTATTATAAAATAACATTCAACATTTTGTAAGGAGTTTTGTGACAAAATAGTCTTATATAAGTCATTGTTTTCGAAGATTAAAGTGGTTTAAAGCCAATTATTTATTAAAAAATATATTGAAAATATGCCTCAAGATAAGACACACACACACACACACACACACACACACACG